TTCAAAACCTTAGTAGAGTGTCACTAGTTTTCCCTCTACAAGAAAATATTTCTTGAAACCTTAATAACCCATAAGTAGCTAACAACTATTTTTTTAAATTATGTTTAAAATTACTTGAACAATAAAATTTACCTATAATAAATATTATTAAAAATTATAATATTTCAATGTATATAATATTATATGACTTTTTAATAAAAATTACTGTTATTTTTTACTTTTTTGTTATGTGTATTTAGATATATTAAAAATTATTTAAAAATAATGGTTATTTTAGTATTGGTTGAGTAAATGTAAAAAGTATAAAAATTGTGTAATTGTTATTTTTATTAAATCGAGGTTATTGTCACCTATATGGTATTACTAAAAAAAATTATTAATGGATAATTTACTTTAAGAAGTTAAGTTTAAAGAGTAATTCAAATATTAACCACTCTTCAAACTTTAAACTTGAAAGAGCAGTTTCACATAAAATTACTTTTAGAAATGAAAATTGGAGAGTGGTTTAAATATTAGCTGCTCTCCAAACTTTAAACTAACTACTCCATAGAAAATTTTAATTCAACACCTCCTTCAACACATATATAAGTTATAATTTAAGTTTAAATATAATACTAGTTAAATATTTGGTATCTTTATTTGGAGTGTAGAATTGCCCTTCAATCTCTATCTCTGAGAGCAATTTCACGTGGAACTGCTATCTAAAAGACACTTCTAGGAGCGATTTTTACAAGGATCGGTATCAGCGTATCTTATAAGGATTGTCAATTGACAACTGTTATTTTTTAAAATATATCAAGGTTGTGAAGTATACCTATATGGACGACAAGTTTTTGCAATTAACGAGCCTGAAATCTTTATAAAAAATTGGTTGTTATATTCTTAATACAATATATGTGAAAGGCTCTTGCTAGGTTCCCACTATCTATTGCTTATTCTTATTGCTGCATTAATTAACTCGTGGCAATTAGAAATTATGCTAACCCCATCTTGGGTGACAATGTATTTGCATAAATTATCAAGAAAAAAAACTAGGCATCCACAATCTAACCCTCAATAATGGCAAAAACAATTGGCAAAATATTCTGATTACTACCTTGTGCAATGACCACTAATAGAACTCCTTTGTATTTGTTATATAAATGTGTCCCATCAACCTATACAAATAGTTTTTAGTGTCTAAACGATTTGATATAGGGACCAAAAGTTCAGAACACTTTGACAAAATATTTTAACATTGGAAACTAATTCATCAGCACGGTAAGCCCCTACATCATCTAACTGAACAATAGAACCTTGAACACAGTCACACATTATTACACGTCATTGCAGTAAAGCTTCAAATGAGGCTTCTTATTAACCATAAACTTTTTCAATTGTCTTCTGTTTTTCCATCCATTCTTTTCAATATATTGTCATGTAGTTGTATTGAGATTGAATCTTACCAATAATGAGTTTTATCTTAAAGGAAGGGACAAACTTGATCATTAGCTTTATATATTCTGCAATTGTGTTAGAATTTAATTTCCTATGATTCTGAGAAATCTTTCCCCTTGTACATGAAGGGTGGCTCCCAAATGGATGTTAACCGATCACTATGTTTGACAAATGGGTCTCATCGTCATCCACATCCTCATTTGCACTAAGCTCATCACTTCCATATTCTTCTTCAAACGCAGAGTTATCACTTTCATGGTTAGCATTTATCCATTCTACCTCTCTATTTAGCACAATGTTTGCATATGTCTCCTCATTATTTTCTTCATCAATTTTAATTACAATTTCTTTGAAAACAACATACAACTCAATGGTAGGAGTTAACATATGACATTATTGATGTATTTAAAACATTTATAGAACATTAGTATTGTTTGTTATTGAAATTGTATAATATTGCATAAAACTGTCAAATATGGATATTAGATACCTATAAATAATACTTTTCGCTACTTTTGGAAACTCAAATTCAATATTTTGAATAAGTCAATACTTAAGTTCTTCAAATGTTACATTATCTTTCATATACACACATGTTGACTTTTCGCACCTAAATAATACACCTTTATAAGTGTTTGAAATAATCTCATTATTAAAGCATATCAATAGAAGCACACTCATATTTCTCTTTATGTCTAAAAATTCTCCTTTTACTCACTTATAACTTACAAAAAATGAAAAACTCAATATTTATAAACACATATCTCAAAAATCGCTAATAACAATTAAAATTTTCTAATAAATTTATGTGGTACAAAAGTTGCTAATAACGAGTTTTTATACTATTTATTATTTTTAAATGACCAAAGTTGCTAATAATAATTATATACAGGGCAGGATTTTCTTACACCCGTATAAATTTAAAAACTCTTACACCTAATTTGAGCCTTTCATTTAACGGGTTATAATTTTTTTACTTTACTTGCTGTTAGATTTAAGTTAAATGAAAAGTTCAGATGGAGTGTAAAAGTTTTTAGACTTACAATAGTATAAGAAGATCTTTCTTCATTATATATATATATATACACACACACACCTCTATAATTTTTACCATTCACAAGTTTTGAAAGTTGCTATTTTTTACTTAAAAAAAAAAGGTCATGACTTTTATTAAAGTCTTATATTTATGTAATACTCTAAAAATTTTCATATTTTTTGTATTTTTAAATAAAAATCATATAAAAAATTGAGCCGAAGTATTTTTAATGGATTTTTATCAAATTTTTAATACAGTGTAATATAGTTTTTTTTAATAAAATTATTTATAATTTTTTAATGATTACCTTTGTAATAATTATCATGGAATCCTAAATCTGTAGTTGTTGTTAATTGTGTGGGTCAAATCCAGTCATGAGACTTAAATGCTCGCCACCCTCTTGGCCACCAATCCTTTTCAAATTAATAAATTTCTAAAAGTGCCGAAAGCGAGTGTAAGTATATCATAATATTTAAATAGTTAAATAAAAAAATTATATTTTTATAAAATAATAATAAAAATAGATATATTATATTATTCGTAAAGTTAATTTTGAGAAACTAATTTATTTTCATTTTCAGAAGATCTTTTTCATTTTTAAATGATATCTTAAATGCACTTTCTAGATTTTTAGTTTCAAATAATTCACATATTTTTTAATTTATTTATTTTCTTTACCAAAAATTAGAATTAATACTTATGAACAAGAGATTTTGAAACTGGTTGTATCTATGCACCGAGTTAAATGAGAGCGTAGGCTGTAGATAGTGTTTAATTACATAAATAAGGATTTGATAATTTAAAAAATTAGGTTTCTTTTATTTACTCTGTTTTTTTATAAATTTAATCTCTAACATTTTTATTTTTATTTAATCTTCTATTAATAATTTATTAACTTATTTTATCATTTATTTATATAACATTCAAATTATTTCATATAATTCGACAAAGACATAACATGAAGATTTTCATGTGTCCTTAATAGTGTTATATTTTAAAAAAATTTAAGTTATAAAATTAAATTTTTTAAATTTAAAAAATAAATGTCACATGTGTTATACATATCAATTCTATTTCATATTACACTATTCAGTGTTAAATGTTATATATATAATTATTAGAAAAAAGTAATTATTAAAAATATTAATAAAAAATATAACATTACTTTGAATGGGAAGTGTGCTTATTGGGGTTAGTTTTGGCGGGCACATCTAGCTTGTTTTCATATTAAAGGGAAGATGATGAGAAGAGAGAAAGTTGAAAGGGTGTTATAATTAGAATGGGGACCGCATCAACGTGCCTACTGCTTCAGAATGCATTATAATTAATTCAACTTATTTCATAAATAGATTTAATTTGACCTAGGCTTAATATAAGATTTATTTTGTGTCAAACTATACTAAATCAAATAAAAAAAAATTAAAATATGCATATGTTAATAATTTTTTAAATAATAAATATTTTTTTAACAGTGTGAAGACTCACGTGTATTCACACAAACTATTTCACATAATATGAGAGAGTAAAAGAAATTAATTGATTCTCACTTTTGCTTAAAATATATAATAATACAATAGTTTTACTAAAATCTTAATTTTGTCAATAACTCATTAAATAAATCAATTGTTTGAACTGATATGCACTTTCACTTAAAAAAATAACCTATTATTTTATTATTAATATTTTTAGTGCTATCAAATAATATAATAATATTTTACTTAAAAAAATAAATATTATATATTTAATAAAATAAATTCTACAATCTTAGTTATCAAATGATAAATTTTTCTTTTATAAAAATTAAAACATTTGTCTGTGTATAATATCACAAGTTTAATACTAAGCCGGCTAATAAATTAACAATCATTAATTTATCAACTAAGATCAATAATATAACATTTAAAGAACTATTAAAAAATAGTATAACATTTCTTTCTATTCTTACAGTTTTAAATTAACTTTAAAATATGATATAATTTATTAATATTCTAACAAGCTAATTTATCATGAATGACTTAAGAAAACACATTTCTTTTTTTATTTAATTACTTACTTAAGTCTTAATTTTTTTCTTAAGAATTTTTTATTGACAATATAAGTTAACCATATAAAATTCTCGGTTTAAGTCATTTCAATGACCACGTCCATATGTGTATCATTGTTTATGAAAATTAATAAATAAAATCTCTTAATAGCTTTCTAATGAATATTATCATATATATTGATCTATCTGAATTATTAATATCTTATTTATAATATTTTTATGAATAAAAATAATTTAAATTAAATTATAAGAGACATGTTTTTTATTCTCATAATTTTTATTACGATAATAAATCTTTAATTTTAATCGATAGTCTTTATCAAATAAATTATTATATTAAAATAGTATATATAAGATAAAAAAAATAAAATAACATTTTTTTTATTATAACTGAAATGGAGTACACGATCACACGGACTTGAACATACATACTTACTCGTACAAGCAATTGATCCAATCGATTCTTCAAACTAAAATTGTACATTCTTATTCTTTTAACCATTTGACAAACCTATTGAAATTCTTTGAAGACAGACCTCCTCGAGCTATGTTCTTGATGAGTTTCTCCTTCAGTTCTAAAGACCTTGATATTATGTTCTCATCACTGAGGAGTTGGTCCACTTTCATTTTGAACTCCTCGCATGACACGAGTCCGTTTTTATCCAAGTCAAAGCCAAACCCAATCTTCAGCTCATCACAAATATATGTTTTGTTATACATTTGATCTCCAAAATATGGCCAACACAAGAAGGGCACCCCATTGGACAAACCTTCCATGGTAGAATTCCAACCACAATGGCTAACAAAGCATGCTATGGCTGGGTGGCTTAGCACCTTTTGTTGAGGAGCCCATTCAACTATCTTACCTTTACTCCCTTTGAATTCATGGGGACATGCCATCTTATTGTCTTTACGCACAACCCAAAGAAAAGGTCTATTGGTGAGGTCAAGACCAAGAGCAATTTCATTAAATTGGTTTTGGTCAAAAAGAGTAAAACTTCCAAAGGCAACATACACGACAGAATGATGAGGTTGTTGGTCAAGCCAATTGATGCAAGAAAAATCTTCTTCCCAAAATTGTCCAATTGATTTTGTGGTTGCACTGCTATTGTCATAACTTCTCAACAACGGGCCAATTGGGAGCAAATTTGGACTAAAGGATAGTGGCCTAGATTCTAGTTCATATGCAGTGTTGCAAAGACACCATTCTGTCAAGTTTATACATTGTGCACATTGCACCAAATAATTGAGTACTATCTTACCAGTTGTTGTATCACCCATATTCAACCAAAAAAAGGTTCTTGGATCCATATCGGACATAATTGGTGATATCCGAATTGTGTTTTTTGTTGTTACTTTTAATCCTACAATGACAAATAAATAAGTAGTAATGTCAGGTTAAAGTTTTTTATGTTTTTCATTCATAATTTTTCCCAAATTTTAATGTCAGGTTTTCTTGTTTCATCTCTATTCAAAAATATACATGACAATGTTAGATCTGAATTTTATACAATTTTGATGGCACCGGGATTTCTGAAATTTAAATTCGCTTAAGCAACTTTTAAAGAAAAAAAAAATATTTGCTTAAGCTAAAATAATTAGCTTAAACAAATTTAATAAAAAAGTAATTTTTATTCAAAGACAAAATTGTTAAAACATTCAAAACATCATCTTTTTTTATGTATTATTTTATTAAATATTTTAAATTTACTATATTACTTATATTAAACATATGTGAGATATAATTATTTAAAATTAGGTTAAATTATTAAAAAAATAAAAATATAAGAATAATAACTTTAAAGAATTAGCTGTGAAACAAATACAGTAATACATGATATGAAATTTTTATAATATAATCATAACGTGTAATCACGTAATCTTACAAAAGGTTTCTTCAAATTTTATATAGTTTATTAAAAAAAAATTAAAAATTTTCACAATTTTGACTTTTAAACAAAAATCACTTTTTCATTTAAGCCAACGTAGACTACAGGTAGCATTTTCCCGGAAACCGCAAAGGATCAGATTCGATGGCGACAGTGTTACGGACAAATCATTCTTAATTCTTGTGGCTTTATGGTTGTCAGGATGGGGACAAAATAAAAATTTGTTTCACTTCTTACAAGATCTTGTTACGTGAAAAGTTAGTATTTTTCTTTTCTTGATAAATTTATATAAAAATCTGATTAAAGATTCACTTATGTCATTTATATTTTAAATAGATTGCCAAAATTATATAAATTCTGAAATAAAATAGTCATTTCGAATGGTATATAATGAAAAAGTAGACAAATTTAGTGATTATTGGAAACTAAAATAAAAGAAAGTACTTGTTTGTTAAAAAGTGAATTAGTACGTTAACTGATGCCTAAGTAATACTTATAAGTGAAATTTATAGAGTTATACGTATAAGTAATACTACTTTAATGAAATCAATTATGAGAACATTGGTATCCTTAAGGAAAATGATTGGTAGTGCAAATTAAAAACTTTGTTTTCGTACCAATCTAATATAAAAAGACTGCTTACCAGATTCTTTTTTTTTTTTTTATCATTTTTGTTAACTTCTCTCAGCGTTGAGTTTAACTATTTATAAATAAAAAATTTTTATTAAAAAAATATATAGTTATTATATTAAAATTCTAAAAATATAATAAATATTTTTAATAATTTTTTATATATTTTTTATTTTAAAGTTTTTGATAAATGCAACTCTACCAAAATGTAATATACACTCTTTCCAGTTTTTTTTATAAGAAATAAAATAGCATATTTTTTTATTTTTATTTAAAAAATAAATAATAAATTTAAGATGTATTAATTGCTAATTTTTTTTATATTTTTTATTAATATTATTAAATATACAAATTACTAACTACATCATTTAATATTATGAGTATTTTTAAAATAAAATTTATATTTATAAAAAATATAATAGAATTAATTATTTTTTTTAGTTTTGATAATTTAGTTTCTTATTTTTTATAAGAAAGATCAGAGAAAGTAAAAGTTATCATTTTAGTTACGTGCCATTCCTTTTAATGAACTTGTTTTACATCTAAACGAAACGAGTTCGTAATTAATATTATACCTTTAAATAACTTGGTATGTGTAGTCCAACTCTTCCAAAACGAACATGTTAACAAATTGTGCCTTTTCAGAGCTATTACTTTATATATAAGAGTGAGAAAATAAAATTTTAATTGTACAATTTTCCATATATGATCAGAATTAATTAATTTTTAATGTCAAATAACTATTTAAATGACTAGATTCTTAATCATGATTAAAATTACCAATCAGTTAATATTAGGTCTCTTACTTTTGTATAAAAAAGGCGTGATACCAGATGCTTTTATACTCGTTCTAATTTTTATAAAAAGGTATTTTATAATTTTTATGAAATATTTATTTTTTTTCTCACGTACCTTTAATAAATAGTGTTGATTGAAATTTAAATTAATAAAAATAAATGTCAATAATAGAATTAGATTCAATGATATAATTTTCATAACATTCTTTTAATAATCTAAAAATTAACCAACTTTATATACTTTTGTTAGTTTATGTAATTTAATTAGAGGTATCTTATAAAAAGAATAAGAGAAAGTATTATGAATAATTTTATATAAAATCTTATAAAAATGAATCTGGATAGTGAAGTATTATATTCTTACCTCCATCAGAATCTATAATGCCATCATCAATAAGCTTGGGGATGTTGCATATCAAGGCCAACATAGATACAGATGCAGGCCAGATCATAGCTCCTTTGATTCCCAATTTAGTTCCAACATCGAAAGCCCATCCCATGCACATATCTGCAACAATGAAGTTGATTCTGTTGTCACTGTTCAAATGAATATCATCTATTAGCTTCTCAAATGTAGAAGGCATGGTCCTTAGTATAGTATCACATAACTTTCCCAAATCTTTTCTATCATCCTCAGGTCTTAAACCATCTGAGATTGACACCAACTTCAACATTGATTCATCCATGTTATGTAGTTGGTCAGCCATAGAACTCACCACTCGCTCATGGTTGAAGTGTGTGTTCACAAAGATAACTTTGCATCCATTTTCAACCAATTTTTGTGAGAGGGTCATCAAGGGATTCACATGCCCTTGAGCTGGATAGGGTAGAACTAGAATAGTTGGAATGTTCATCTTGTATTTGGGTTTCTACGATTCAGTGGCCCATAGTTTACGCTTTATATTGACGTTTTTAAAAATTCTATTTCACGATTTGTTTTATTTAATCACAGTGAAACTGTATTTTAAGTAATAAAATAATATAAAATTTGGCTATTTAAAATTGTAAATTAAGATAAAAGAATTCTATTGCATGACTTATGAAAAAAATATAATAAATGGTTAAATAATAGTAATAATTTATATGTTGATATTATATATGAGTCATATTTATTTTAAAATAATTTTAAAGGAAAAAAAACAACAAATTTTTTATTAAGGAACCAATTTTGGCCTTTTTATTGATTTAGTAAATTCTCAACTGATTTTATGATTCATTAAATTTTTTAGTTGGTCCAAATTAATGACAGAACTGAGTCTCCATCTAACTGATCGTTTGTTCCCGTTATGTATGGTCCATATAGATATATATAGAGAGAGAAATGGTTAACTAATTAGGAAAATATTTTTATTTAATCACATTTTATATATATGAAGTCTAAAATCTTTACGATTCAGTTGAAAAAATCGTGTTTTAAAGCTTTTCAACGATAAAAAAAAAAGTTGTTAATGTTGATTAAAATTATGTTTAGATGAAAAAATTAAAAATTAAAAATTAATATATATTTTTTAAAAAAAACTGTTAGATTAAAAGCTGAAAATTAGACATTCTCGTTAGAAAGCTGTTGAGATAAAATAAATTTTTTTAATAATTATTTTTCAGCAAATATATTTAAACAAAAATAAATTTTACGTATAATCAATTCTACACAGAATCGATTGTTTAATAGTAACATTTTATTACTGCTCGCTTCAGAATCATATACTTGCAGAGTATCTTATAATGTTTTTCATTTTACGACTAAAATAAATATATTTATATTCATTATTGCTTTGATATCTTAAAATGATATAGTCTGATATATAATTAACATGTAATAATTTTTTGATTAGTGACGTCTTGTACAATTAAATGAATTTAAAACTAAAAATTTACTAAAAGCTAATAATAAAAATATATTTAAATCATTAATCAAACATATATTATGAAGGACGCAATTGCACGTTCTTCACGGGTAACCACTTGTCATTCTCAACGAAATCAAATATCACAATCCGCTATCATGATCGGGGCAGTTGAACTGCTAACACTCAGGTTTTATTTAAATATTTGTTTAATAATAATTTTTAAAATAATTTATTTTAATAAATTATACTAAAAAATTTTAGAATAATAAATATAATTTATATTTTTCTTAAACTAATTATTACTTCTTTCAAATATACCGATAATTTGTATAAAACTGTTTTTATAATTTAGTTTAATTTTTAAATTAATTTTAACCTTAATTTCAAAGAGTTTTGCAATACAAATATCTAATTTTCTTCGTAATTCACCATGTTTTATCTAATTGCACTAAAATAATAAATTATTTTCACTACTTAATGATTAACTACAATCCTCTAATCTACATTTACTTTAATAATTATATAAAACAATAAAATTATTAAAAAAATATTATATCTGTTAAATTCTAACTAATTAAAAGTTTAGACTGATATTTTTATTCTTTTAATCTTTGAATTTATCTCTTATTTTGATTAATCTATTAATAGTATAATCGTTTATTAGTTAATTATTTAAAATTGACGTTTCAATAATTAATTCAAAAATATCAATAATTATAAAAAAAATTATTTTAATTAACAAATAATATCAATTGCATAAAATTAAACTAGAATTAAAAAAAATTATCTTATAAAAATTTACCTCAATCATTTATTACAAATAGTTATAAAGATGAAAGTAAAAATAAATGAATACAAAATATTTATAATGAGAAATTTTCATGACATTTTTTTCCTAATATTCATGACTTATTTTATTTTAACAAAAGTATAAATATGTGTAAAAAATATCACTAATTGAAAATTTGGTGATGTAACACTTAGAATGAAAAAAAGAAAGAAATTTATGATAGTAGAGTGTGGAGATAACGATAGATCAAGTTTGTCTTTAATTTCATTGTTATAACAAACGGTGTGGGTCATATTCATATACTTACTTTTAGATTCATAATAATTTTTTTAAAAATTATTAAAAGATATATAGCAATAAATAATATATTAAAAAAATTAATTTTTGACAAGTTTAATATGATTTATGTAGTTAATATCACCAAATTATTCATTAAAAAGTTAATTAAACAAAAGTTAGGTTATTTTAAGAACATGGATTAACAATTTTAATCCAATGACTATTTTAAAATAATAATTACAATGATAATAAAAAATAATAAAAATGTTGATTAAAATTTTAGAAGGTAACGTCATCTTATACTTTTAATATAATTGTTATATAATCTAAAAAGAAATTAGGTTTTCTTGTATGTGCAAGTTGTGGGGGTAATATAAACCATATTTTAATATAATAACCTTTCAGTAAAAGGGGAGAATTTATGACATTAGCGCAGTTTTAAAAATTGCTTTGATATTTTTTTGGGGGGCTAAAATAAATTATGGATATTTAGTAATATTAGTAGATAAATAAATTAAATCAATATATTTTTTATTATTATTATTATTATTATTATTATTAAATATATTCATGAATGTCATTTCTATTAATAATTTTAGTTCGTTAAAAATTATTTTAGCTTTTAAATCTACTTGTTTATGTCACATAAATTGAAATTGGTTTAATATTTTAATTTATAAATTTACGATAAATTTATTCTTTCCTTCTGTTCTCAAATCATTTCCTCAATAACATAATTATATTTTTAAAATTTATCAAACATTAAACATTATATATTTTAAAATAAAATTAAAGAATATGCATGTAATAATTTATGATAAGGATGTATAAATTATTTTATTAACCATATATTATAAAGTAAATTTTGTAAAAATTTTCATATGTTTATTCTAAATAAAATAAACAAATATTTCTATACTTTTTAAAAAAAATTAATAAATATAATTATAAAAATCTCTATACTTTCATATTATTTTTGGAACAATAGTTATAAAATTTCTGCAACTTGCAAATTATCTTGTATTTTATTTTTAAAAATCAAATATTTGTTTACCTTTTTATTTTAAAAAGTTAAAATTATCTCTATCATTCATAAATTATAAAATTTTAATGTCAAATTTTTTATTGAAAAAAAAATATTTTTTTTAAAAATTAATTTAACATCATCAAAGAATATATTCTCAATTTCAATTACCTTTAAAAAGATTTTACATTTGATTGTTGTTTAAGTAACTTTCAAAAGATTTTATCTCCTATTTTATAGCCTTTCAATTTATTTTTATATTTAACTTTGCAACGAAAAATGCGTAAGAGTAAGGATAAAACTAACGGTACCTAACAAAAACATATGTAAGAGCAAAGATATAACATTCTCAACGGTTTTCTTTTATTTTAAATTACCACATCGTCAAAGGATTTTTGTTTTGTTTTATTTTTATATAACTCTGGAAAAAAATTTTCAATTTTATACCATTAAAAAAACTAAAAATTATTTGACTTTAGTTTTCATTACATTTAAAAACATGAAAGAACGAGAATTAAAACTCGTCATGTTTGATTATTTTTAAAAATTATTCTTTTTGTTTAATTGCATAATAAGTTAAAAATGTAAAAATATTTTACAAAGAAAAATAAAAATTTTAAAAATTAAATAAATATTTTATTTTTGCACAATTAATTAAAGTATTTACTTTTACGAAAATTGTAAAATATTAATACTTTTTCACATATAATTTAACTCCAAAACTTAGATTTAATTAATAAAATCTTAATAAATTCCTTTCTCTAGATTTTTCATAAGAAAAATAGTAAATTCTATAGTGCTTTGAAAAATGAGAGAATATTTAGGGATGACAATTTGTAGGGTATGGGTAGGGTACTATAGTACTCATTTACATACCCGCGTTTTAAAAAAATACCCGTACCTGGCCCCATACCCGCGTGGGTATGAATATTAATCCCGTACCTGTGCTCGTACTCTCTGGGTACCCGCATACCCATCTTGTACCCATTACCCGCTTTTGTTTAAAAAAAAAAATATTTATAAAGAAAAATATGTTTATATAACTTCACATAAGTAGCATAATAATATAAAAATTCAATATGTAGTTGCCGAATAAGGTACAAACATAGATAAAGAAAACAAATATTCAAAGATCATAAATGCTAAATGTATCTTAATATAATAATTTTCTAAACTAAAATTTTTAGAAATAATAAGCAAAACTAAACACACAAGTTATTTGTCAGTGATAACCTTATTTTGTGTGAGATTTGATCGATTGACAATGTCAAAGTGATAACGAAATAGATCTGCACAATAATTGTTCCTTCGTGTGGGATCACTTGGTGACCTCTTATGACGGCATTGACAACTAATTCTAATGAATAACGTTTCATAGTTGTTAAGTTTTAATGAGACAAATATTGAGAATGAGAATAAAGTTAGAGTAGAGAAGTTCAATATTAATAATAGTAAGTGGATACATAAAATATTTATTTTAACTTTTGAATTTGAAATTGTAAGAAAAATAATAGATTTAATTAAAATAATATAATATAATTAATATATATATATACATTAATACTAGTATTTTTAACTCATATAATATACGAAAGTATTTTATCAAAAATACAAATTTTTGAAAAATTATTTTAATGAATTAAATATTTATAATGTATATAAATTTTAAAAGAAAGAATTTGAATAAAAAATAAATGGTCACAGTAAAATTTTATAATAAAGAAATATACGTGTATATTAAAAAAATTATACTTTTTATCTGAAAAAAATTAACAAATAAAAATTAACAATAATTTTTTATGTTTATATCTTTTCAAAAACTTCTTTGAACGTGAATAAATAGTAAGAATAATATTATTTAGATTCAATATATTATAGTTGTGCTTGTAATACATATGTTGCATAGAAAAATATTATTTTAAATTAAAATATAAAAAATAAAATTTAAATATTATTAATAAATAATAAGTTTACTGTAATAGTAGGTAATTGTAAAATTTATAAAATATTTATAATATATTATTATTTATCATTCACTTTATGATTTAAACATCAATATGATTTTATTAACAAAAATATTTGTGTGAAAAATATTTTATGTGTGTCATATATAAATAATATTTTAAAAAAAGTCAATTTCATATTAATTATATAATAATTAAATTGTATTAGCCTAATTAAATAATATAAAATAGTAAATAAATTTTTCTATTAAAAATATAAACTAAAATAAATTTTTTAGTTTACTTTATTATTAAATATATTTTTATATTAATCTTATATAACTTCACATAAGTAATATAATAATTTAAAAATTTAATGCATAATTGTAGAATAAAGTTCAAGCATATATATATATATATATATATATATATAGATATATATATATATATATATATATATATATATATATATATGCGGGTATGGGGCGCGAGGTGGGTACTTAGATACTCATATCCGTACACATTTCCATTAAAATTTGTGAGTTTTTACCCACGTCCATACCCGTACCTATATAGCAGATAAATACCCTACCCATTGTAAGTAAATTTTGCGGGTACCCATTGGGTACTTTACCCATTGCCATTCCTAAGAGTATTCTATGCTCTTGTATACGTGAAATAATTATAATTATAATCATATTTTAGTAGTGAAGTATTTAAAAAAGACAAATATCTTTTAATATTTTAGTATAATCTAGAGAGTGAATTCAATGCCCTTTCAAGTTTAGAAGTATCTTAACAAGTATCAAGAAAAATATGTATATTTAAGACTAAATTCTAAGGTGCTTTAAATGATGAAGGAGTATTTTATACTATTATATACATAAAACAATTATAACCATTGATTTTAATAATAGAGTTAATGATATATTGAAAAAGACATAAATATTTTTTAATATCTTAATATAATCTAAAGAAAATTATTCAATGCACTGTCAAGTTAATAGCATGGTAGCAAGCACCATACTTATGAATTACCAATATAACTTTAGAATTTTAAGAACAAAACTTTAACACTTTTGAAATTTTACTTAGATGTTATACATATATATATTTTGATGGTGAGCAACAAATAATAGAGTTAAATTCAAGATAACCTAGTTATTTTTTGTTGTGAACCGCTTTCTGATGTCTCATAGCCTCCATTCCCAACGGACAACATATTTAAATTCCAATTCGACCGTTGCAACCCCATTTGCTCAAACGGTCACTTATCTTTCAAATACTATCCCAATTAACTCACGGTTCCCACTTGGACACATTTTCCTTGCTTCTCAGCACTATTATAGCTGAGTTTTGCATACACAAAAGCACAGAATCTCATGGAAAACATGCTTAAAACTCCTCCAAAAGTGCCAATTCAAGCACAAGCATCAGAGTCAGAATGCAAAACACCAACTCCAGTTCAACAACCAGACCAGCATGATCATAACTCCTCAAATGAATTGCGCAAACCTGTCACCCCAGATCGTCTTAGAGTCCCTAAGGCATTCAAATACCCAGAAAGGTAAATATTATATAGGAAAAATGTTATCCATTTTTCTAATGTATACCCTCTTGATCACAATAAAAATCAATATTTATTAAAAATTATAGCAGATTTTGTAATTTTTAATAAAAATTGTTTTTACTGCGTGTTTTTAGGAACATTTAAAAAATAAAAAATAATTTTAAAGACTAATATTTACATATTTTATTGATTATTTATATATAAATATCAATATATGTAATAATTTGATAATTGGGTTAGTGATGTGAATATGTATTCTTGATTTTTGAAGGTATACCAGCCCAACTGATATGATGATCTCGCCAGTAACCAAAGGCCTACTTGCAAGGAGTAAAAAGGGTGGTGCATTAATACCCCCTGGTAAAAATCAACCAAAGGTACACCAGCAAGGCTATAGATGAACCAATTTACTATTCACTTTCCCTAGCTCTGCCAATGTTCCTTTTGGGGGTTTCATTTAATTTTTCAGTGTGTTTATGTGAACTGCTACAGATTCCAGACATGTGCTTGTTGCAGGATGTGGGACCTTTCCAAAACAAGCTTCCGATGCTGATTGACGAGAAGATCAACTCAACTTGAGGAACTCAGTGGATCCTTTTTGTTCAACAAGATAAATCATGTGACAGTGGTTCAAGCTTCAAGGGGAATTTGAAGATGATGTAATATCAGAGAGAGTAGTGATCTTTTCTGTCATGCTCTTATTTTCTTCTCAAATAGCCTTTTGTAACATTAATTTTTTGGGGTTAAAAAAGTTGTCTGTATTTTCAGATTCTATTGTTGAGCCTTGGAGAAACTGAGGCAGTAAGGTTTCCTTTCCAATAGGATCATTTTATTTTATTTTAAGATAAAACTTAAAAGTAAATTCCCTATATTTTTATTACTCAGCTTCCTTGTTAGATGAATGTCATCTGAATGTTTTTCTATTCATAATAACACTATTAAATATATGTTGTAGAATTGTAAATAAACTTTTACATGATATTATTTAATTAAAGAATTTATATAAGGAACCTCATGTGTTTTTCCTTTATTTTACCCTTCTGTTGTAAGATTTATGAATTCGTGTTTCTTTTCATCTTTTTATTTTTATAAGTTCAAGAACTTTCCTTGATTAGACTCCACCTTTTTTTTACTTTGGTGCATAGATTAGACTCTATTTGAAACAGTTTAGGAATAGATTCAGGTTGAATTGAAAAAAAATAAATTACTGTCACCCAACCTAATTCGTAAATCTTTTTGAAAAAAAATTTTGGTTGGGTGATTAGGGAAAACAAACAAGTTATGTGGCCTATATAGGCCACATGCCTATATACACTCTCTAAACCAAAGATTACCGTATTTTTATTTGAAAATATAAAAGATCAATGAAAATTAAAGTTACAGCCATAAAGTTACAGATTTTTTAATATTCATTTTTTTCCATCTATAGTTATTGAGAATGCATAAATTTAAGCTACCCAGCCTAGCACCTGAGTTATGAACTTATTATATATAGGTCGGACATAAAAAGTTCAAAGTTACTTTTCTTTGATGTAAAAAAAGTAAGTTTCTTTTTTTTTCCTGGTCAACCAAATTTATTAAGTTTCTAAAATGGCAGACAATTTCTAGTTCTCTACATATAAAAGTATAATAATAATAAAAAAATAAAAAATAAAAAATCAAACAATAGTGATTTTTTTTAACAACAATAAATAAATTTAAGAAAAAAATAATAGAAGTTCTACACTCTGGCAAGTGTATTCAGAACAACTCAACTGGACAGCCAGCCCAATTTATTGGGTATTAACTAGTATATCATCTTAATTTGACACAATTAATATCATATCATTACAATAATGTTATTTTATTTTGATAAAATTATTTCCTTTCCACTTTTTTCTGAGAGATTAAAACATCTTTCTTTGACAAATTAATATACCTTAAATGAGTACAATATATACTTGTATCAGGCCAATAAAGTTACAAGAGAGTGGAAGGTTGTAACTCTAATGGTTCCACAACTAAACATGATAAGTACAAGTTAGTATGGCATGAATGAAATGGCTAATGGAATGGTTACACTAATCACTCCAAACGGACCTCATACCATTGGATTGAGCCAACTTCTCCATCAATTTCAAGTTCACAAACTGATCTCACTAGGAAAGAAACAGCATCATCAATGTTCTCATATCTTGAAAGATCAGGGGGAAGAGCCTTGCCAGGCCAATTTTCCAGCAACTCTTTCAATGTTTCCTTCAACTCTTCCTCAGAAACAAACCTCTCATCTTGCCCTGGTTCTAATAGTACATAAGTTTCAGTTCTCTCATTTGCCCTTCTCCTCCTTAATGCAAATGCCTGTAGCAAAAGCAGAAAATGTACTTGGATGTTACCATACACTACTAGAACATATATTTTAGCAAGGCAGTGACTACATTGGATTGGCTATCCTTTTTAATAGAAGCATTCAACTCATATGGCATTTCATAGGACTTGGGAGCTCTGATAAGAGAATTTCTATTTTTACTAAATGGCCCAATGAAAAAACATATATTTATGTCGTCAACAAGACTTTTAAATTAGTCTTTGAAATTATATGAGTCACACATTTTAATTTTTAAAATTTTAATAACCCTCTCTTAAATTAGTGGGTCACTTTTTAACTTTTGACTGCTAACAATTAATATTATATTGATTTTATATATAGAATAAATAAGAACAAACAATTAAAATAAAAATAAAAATTACTAAAATGATTTTTTTATTTATTTTAAAATCACACAAACAAAAATGCTTGGCCCATATACTTTCAAGAACTAGGTTGAAAGTTTACTCATGAGAATCAGTGTAGCTAAGAATCCGACTAATCACAATAATACTAAGATTTAAGAGCATACTGCATAAATATATACCTTAGTTTTACTTCTGCAATGACCTGAAATTTGAGGCAGTCTCTGGTAGATTGAAGAACTAAAACATTTAACTAGGCCTGGTGATGTTATATGAATTACTGAATTCTGAATATAACAACTTTCTGTAGCTGCAAATGATCAGAATGCTTACACGGTCAGCAAAACAGAACACCCGAGCTTTTCTACATAACCTACATTTCTATAATTAAATTACTCATAAGCGGTCAAATTTACATTTAATTCAATATTGTAATGCATATTATTCTAATAGATAAATCATGTAAATGCTCTCAAAACTGCAACGGCAACAATTGTTCTCTTGCAGTTGCAAACATGTCTACCTGATTAGCATTTTGTGCTAGAATGGTAAATTTCAAAGGCTAATGATAAGGATAGCTTACCTTGGAGGGACCGAACTCCAACTTTGAAGAGCTGAGACTGCAATATTCCTACCATATCAAATATTTTGTGCTAAGCTTCCTTCATGTTTCTCGAGTTTTGCATGATATAAGAGACCAAATATATTATCCATATTGCCGGTGTCAATTACAATCACAAACTTTGGAGATAACTTCTTTTATTCTACTTCCCTAATTACCCTCCTTTGTTATCATATTTTCAACATTGCCCTTCTGTTCATTACTTGTTATCATATTTTATTCTATTTTTGGCCTTTTGGGTAAGATCTCTCAAGGCTTAGAAACAGCTTTACAGATCAAACGTGCTTCTGTATCACAAAAGACTTGTTTGGTTCGTTATATTTACTTGTAAGGATTATATGATTAGCTATATTAACTTTTTTTAATTAAATAAGGTACATTTTTTTTAAAAATGGAATTAAACAAGGTGCATTATATGATCAGCGATAAAATTTTATTTTAATATAATTGATAATTAATTAATATTTTCATAAGGGTCTAACCTGTCTATGGCCTAACGACTACCAAAGTTGGTTTAGTTCTAATATGTTTTAATTAATCACTCTGTTACATAAACAGAGTAATTCCCGAGATCCTCTCCTTGCCTTTCTTTAGCCTTGTCAACCCTTGCTGTGTTTCTCCATAGACAAAACCATATACCCCAAAACCCAGCTTTCATGTCCTTAATTTTCCTTATCCCCTTGCCAGCTTCATCCTCTTCTTCTTACCTTTTCATTTTAATTTTCCTTGTTATTTTCCATTTCCTGATTTGTGGTCAGAACCGGTTAATCTCATATCAACCTTCATCTTGCACCAATTTTTTTTATTCAAGGATCGTTACAAATCGAATCTACAGGTTCCAGAATTGATTCTGGAAATTTGAGTAAGTCCTATAGGTTTTCCGCAATATTTCATTTGGTGATTGTACAATAAGAAAAGGCTATTTATTTATTTATTATTTCTTTCACATGAAGATCATATGTTGTATGCTAATGATGCCAAATAATCTCTTCTTGCATAAGGATGAGTGAAACTGTGTTGTAGCTCATATGTGCATGGCCTAGAAATAAAACATTGAGAGTATGTTTGATTTCATTTTGAAAAACAGTTTTTAATTTTTAAAAATAAAATGTAGTATAAATTTGTACTGCATTTTATTTTTAAAAACTAAAAACTCTTTTAAAAATAAAATCAAACATGCTCTAAATCTTTTCTTTTAGCACCAAAATATAATCTATACAAAAATTAATTCCATTACCAAATTATAAATCTATTGTATCGTTTGTCTCAAATGTGATCTAAAAGTGCTACTTGTATTTCTTCTGTAGAGTACAAAAATTAATGGCTTTCTTGAGTTATGAGAACAAGAGAGGAAGTGGTAAGAAACTCAAAGTCCATTTTGATCTTCCTGAGGATGATGAGTATCCAACTTCTAATAGGAAGAATTCAAGTTCTTCTATTTCATCTGAATCATCACTAGATTCTGATGACACTGACAAAGATGATAACAGCATAGATAATGTTTATTCTAAGTATGGTGTGTATGGTTCACCTGTTTGGAGCTTTCAAGGTGGGTCAGTGACTCAATCTCCTCCAGTTCAGTTTATGAGTTCTCCTGCATATGATCCAAGCAGAATACCCTCTTCAATATTTGCAAATAGACCCACAAGTCCTATGGAATGGAGTGCTGCTTCAAATGAATCACTATTTAGCATACACTTAGGAAACAATAGTTTCTCAAGGGACAATACTTTTGCATTCAACAAATCTGGGGAGTTACCTAGGACTAATGATTTGGTCGGCATGCCTTCACCACTGCCACCAGTTCAAGAGGTCACTAGTAATTGCAAAAATGTGGACATGGAGAGACACTCAGTGTCATCAAATTCATCAGATGAAACAATAGATTCAGTTGAGGGAAAAGACCAAAAGAAAACAACACATGAAACTGAAGGTTCACTTGTGGAGGTTGACCATAATAAAACACAAACATTAGCAGAAGTTGGGACAATTGTGTGGGACAAAACACCAGCTGATCATTGTAAAGAAGAAAGGGTCCCTAGTGAAGAACCCAAGAATTATACCAGTGTCTCCTACCGTTCAATGGAAAGTGATATAAGCACCCGTTCATTTCAATTTCCTATGTGAGCCCCCATCAGATCTTTACTTATATATGAGTGTTGTATTATTATGCTAGATTTTTAATGCATGCAAACTCACATGTGTTTTCATCACACACATATAACTCACAATAAGTACCATAATATACTTGTCATATTAATAAGTTAAGCAAAATGTTAATAAGTGTCTTCAGAACCCTAGCTAAAGAATAAAAAAAAAACAAAATTAATGTAGATCCCTTCTTGATTGCCAATGTAGTTTGATGTTAATTTTAATGAAAATTTTCTTAAGGCATTAGTTAGCATAACACGCGTTAAGATTTATAGTTGAATTTAATATATCATCAATGTAAAAAATTTTACACTTCCAATCCATTAGAAATCATCTTAAATATGACATGTTAGATAATTATTACAAAAGTTAATTTTCAATTATATGAGAATTCATTATTAAATGATAGTTTACACTCTTAAAATAGTTCAACTAAGTCATAAAGTTTAATAATATATTATTATAAAAATTTACCAGCCCTAATTTTGGTTGCACATATTTTACAGAAATTAGATGTTGAAGTCTATTTATTTGATGCATCATCTTATATACCTTGTGGCTTAATGTTTAGTTTCGAATTATTTTTTTAAGCAGTTGATCATATTACTGCATTCTTATAGTTATCATACGTTTCTTCTTAGTATGCATTAAGTGTGCTAATTGAAAACCGAAATAGAGGTGCACTAATAATTTCAACTTCATTTATCTTTTCATAAGTAATATGATTTGTTCAAAGGGTAAGATACCCTGCTATTGACCATCATTTTCTCCTTGATTTCTTTCAGATTAACAGCTGATGCAGAAAGAACAAGTTCATCAACAGTAGAGTCAGAAAAGGAAGAAAAAAGTGAAAAGCAGGAGGAGCAGCAAGTAGAGGAGCCATTGAAGCCTACTAGTCCTCCTATAACAGAACAGACACCAAAGCAAAGTGGTAGAACTTGGTGTTTCTGCTTCTCTTGTTCATCATGTTTTTGAGACAGATTTTCAAATGATGGGCAATAACAAAATCACTCTACCTCTCTTTTAGAATGCCACCTAATCAAATTTGAACATAAAATGGATCAACTGGTTAGAGGGAAGCATTTTCCCTTTTTGTGTTTTTTCTCTAAAATGTTTGAGGAAAAATTAGTTCCAGTTTGGAATCCTGAGCTTCTAGCTGTGGCTTTGGTGTAAATGGTTAAGAAGTAAATGATGTTAATCTTAAAATGATATATGTACATGTGTCTATCAGATGTCATAGATGGACAATGGAGCTGTTTTTTAACAGTTTTCATTCCTCATTCTTTTAAAAGTATTTATCTCTCTCTCTCTCTCTATATATATATATATATATAAATATAAATATTAAAAGTATTTGTGTGTGTCTCTCTCTATATATATTTATACACACGTTATTACAAACATGTAAAGAGGTGGCTTGTTATTTGAAAACTTAGAACAATATATCATTTCAAAACAGCAATACACTGTTGTTTCTTGGTTCATTTTTATGAATAAAAATATATTTAAAAAGCATGCATGCTGTTCATTGGTTTGAGAATCATTTGTTGCACTCCATTTAGTTTCACGAGTTTATGTGTTTTGAGAAAAGAGGTGTATTATATTCTAATCAATTATTGGAGTGAAGTATTTTTCTCTAAGACTATGTTTGGAGGAGTTAACTCTTGTTTGGGAGTTACTTAATTAGAAGATGAAAGATTTTGAGGAAAAAGAAAGGAAAGAGTTTGAAGGAAATAAAAAGAAAAGAAAAAAAATAGGAGAAGGAAGATTAAACTCTCTCTTATTTAGATGTTTAATTTGAGAAGGAGAGTGCGATAGAGAATTTAAATATATAAATGATATTATTACTCTTTAAATTTTTATAAAATATACAAAAATAAAAAAATTCTTTTAAAATTTAATATTTTTAAAAACTAATATATTTTAAAATTATCACTCTAAAAATATATTTTAAAAATTATATTTCTATTTTTTATAATTTTTTAAAAAACATCATTAAAAACTAATATATTTTAAAAAATTTAATTTATTGTTATTTTTTTAATTTTTTTCAAAAAATACACATTATATATTTTTCTCCCTCTAAATATTAATATCTTTAAAATTCATATTTTTAATTTTTTATATTTTTAAAAATATTCTCACTCTAAAAAATAATATTTTTTTAAAAAATAAATTTTTGTTATTCTTTTTTTCTAAAATTAACATCACACTTTTTTAAAAATATTTATTTTGTTTCTATTTCATTCATATAATAATTAATATAAAAAAATATTTTAATAGACTAAAAAACTCCAAAAAGTGGAGAACTCGTAAAATTAAGTTTAAGAGGGTTTTAAGATGTTTACAAAAATCTTCAAATCCTTTCCCTTTTTATTAATTAATTCTTAAATAACAAATAAATCCTTCTAAATCCACTCTTTTCCTTCTAAATATAACTCCCAAATATATTCTAAATTTTAATGTTTTATGAGATTTTTTCTTAGTCAGTCTTCTGTACTCTTTCATGATTAGGATTTTAACTTTTTTTTTGGTAAATATTAGTTTTTAAAGTGAGATTTTTTTAAAAAAATTTATAAAAAATAAAATATTAATTTTAAAATTATTAATTTTTAGAGAAAGAAAAATATTTATATTTATATTTTTTGTAAAAATAAAAAATTATATAAATAAAAGATATAAAATATAATAATATCAATTATATAACTAAAACTCTTGTCATCCTCTTTTTCAATATTAAACATTTAAATAAGAGAGGGGTTTAACCTTTCTTCCTTCCTTCCCCTCTCTCTTCCTTTCCTCTTCAAACTTTTTTCTGTCTCTTTAAATTTCTAAACAAAGTCTAAAATTATTATTATATTACGAACTTTAACTTAAACTACTCTAAACTTTTTTTGAAAAATCTTCTTTATCTATTAAACTTGTAAATTGTTATGAGATTATATTATTTTTGTTATTACAAGTATTGTTATGGTTTTTTATGCACATTTAATCTATAATTCTAATTCTTTATTTTTATTTTATATATTTTTTTTCAACGCCGGCACAATATCATGTTCAATATTAAAAATAGTTCAATAAAATAATATAAAAATAAATAAAGATTTGAATGCCAAGTAAGAGACAAAACTATAATACTACTTTACAATTTAAAAAAGTAACAGCGCTTTTAAATTAATATCAAACTTACTTAATATAAATTTATTTCAATGCTACCGTTATATGTCACTCAATTTAAAAGTCGCGTGTTATATCCATTCAAATATAAATATAGTCTAATATTGTAGCTTATAATTTTCACAATTTAACATAATTTTATAAGTTTAATTTTAAAAAAGTAATGATACTTTTAAAAATCATATTTGTTCTTAAGGTTAATTATCGTGAATTATATTAATCTTTATCGTTAAGTGATATTAAAAAAATATAATAAAATAATAAATTGATACATTAAATAACACATTTCAACATTTAAAAGGGATAAAATGAAAGCACACTCTTTAACAAATAAAAAAAAAATCAATTATTTTATTCTCGTAAGTGTTGACACTTGTTAATTAATGTGATATTTTAAAAAATTTTAAAATTAAATTAATAAAAGCATAATTGAGGAACAAAATAGATATTTACTCTGTTTGATAGTCTCAGGTATCTCGCAAGCCCAGTGTCTCTGTGTCTGGTTGTACTTCGAGCTTATCGCCACAGAACGAAGAACAATCAACCGGGGCACAAATTACGGCTCCTTTTTTTTTTATGGTTTTTTTTTTTAAATTTATAAAACATGGAATTTTTTGTAAATTTATGAAAATATGAAGTTTAAAAAATTATCATATAATTTTTGATATAGTACAAAAATTTAGAGATAAAAAATTAAAAAAATAATAAAATTTTAAAAGTCACCAATAATAATTTTTAAAAAATATTTTAAAAATAAAAAATCATTAATAACAATTTTTTTAAAAATAATTATTTTTAAAAAAATATATTAAAAGTCGTCATTAACAGTTTTGGTCAAAAGTCGTTAACGGTGATTTTTGAAAAAAAATCATATTTATGTAAGTTTGTAAAAAAAATTATATTTTTTGAATTTTAAATAAAAAACCATATATAAAAAAATTCTCACAAATTACTAGTTTATTAATTTTGTAATTTTTTAAAAAATTAATTATCAAAATAAAATAAAACTAAAATTAAATTTTTTCAGAAACTTCTTGTCACATAGTACGAAACTTTTTTTATTTTTTAAAAATTTATATATTATTTTTTTAAAAATTATATATTAAAAAACAAAACTTATAAAATTATAACCAGTGTTAATATTTTAGATAATTAGATAATTTTATCTATACACTATAAAAGATTTATTTACAAAAATTTAAAATTTTATTTATAAAGAGTTTCATCTTTTAATACAGAAATTTTTAAAAAAATTATTTATCTCTTACAAAGTTCAGAAAAATGTGAAACTAAAGATAACGTGGCAAAAAAATAAATTCTTTACATGAAAACAATTTAAATTTTACTTTGTTTTGATAATTAATTTTTTTAAAATATTATAAAATCAATAAACCCAAATTATTAGCTTATTGTGCAGTGAATTTCACTGCGTACAATTAAAAAGAAAAATAGAATTTGAAAGAGATGAAAGTTAAACTTTTGAAAAAATTTTAATGCTTTACAAAATTAATTAATTTGTAATGTCACTTATTATCAGTGTTCGACAATCACACACGTAGGTTAAAGCTTGTTGGAATCTGATAATGTAACATTGGCTTCACGACACAAATTTTAATTTTAAAAAAATAAAGTGTTTATTTTGTGCCGTTAAATTTATGAAATTTTTTTACTTTATAAAATAAGTATTAAATAAATTTATTTCTTATTATATAAAATATTTTCTTCATTTAATAATTAGAAAAATAAAAAAAATAAAAGATAAAGTCGCTGAGGAAGCTTAGAAACTCATGAAAATTTACAAAACAAAGTGCTAAAATCACTCAGCAGCAAAACAGATGTTCAACAAAGATTTACATAAACAAAAGTTAAAAACCTTTTAAAGTCGCTTAGAAACTCATGAAAATGATTGAACCTTATATTTATTCTCGAAATCAATTTAAAAATCTAAAAACAAATATCAAGAGAAAACACACACACTTTAATTGACAAGTGAAAAAAGTTTTACAACAAAATAAGGGAAAAAAAAGTTGAAAACGGGTGAAGAATAAGAAAGGATTAGGATTTATGAGACTTTTTTTTTAAATATATTTAATAACTTGTTTGTAAATATTAATTTTAAATAATAAAATATTAAAAAATTAAATAATATGATAATAATGCATTAACCAACTCATCAATTAACATAATAGAATTAGAAAGTAGAGATTAAATCATAAATTTTAAAATAATTTTATGACTAAATCCTAATAATTTTTTTTAAGGACTTATCACAAAGAGCACTACTTTTATAAATACTAAAAAAAATAAAATAAATCGTAAATAAAATCTAATAATTAAAATATTAAATTTTATGATATTTGATTGTTGTCTTAAATACACATTGAAAAGTTAAAAAATGAATTAAGAATAATTTTTTTTTAGAAAAATATTCTTTTAATTTAAGTAATTAATAATATCAAAATTTTAGAAAAAAAATTATTATTATTTTATAATTTTAACATAATAAATAAATTTTTCTTAATAAAAATATATTGTCTTTTAAATACTTATATTCAATGTTGAATTTTATAGTTAATAAAAAAATATACATTTAATGGATATGCATTAAAAATAACTAAATATATCTCATTAGATAATTTAGATTATAATTTTAAAATATTAAATATTTTATTTTAATATTTTTAATTTGTTAACATGTATTATTAAATATGTTAAAAATGGAAGCAAGAAATATAGGAATGAATCACTTTATCTTACAATATAATAAATAAATAGACGAAAATATGGTGGAATTTCGTCAAAAAAAAATTGATAAATTTTTATTTTTAATAATATTTTAATATTCCATTTTCAACACTGTTTTTATAAGATATTTTTAATTAAAATACGCATATTAATAAATTTTTTAAATATAGTTAATTAGTTAATTTTTTAAAAATTATTAAAGCATTTCAAATTTATTTATAGTTAAAATCAAGCTTTATCTTAACATTAATTGCTACTCCTTACTTAAATATTTGTTATTTATTTTAAATTATTTATTTATTTAAATTAATAAAATATTAATTACTTTACTCACCAAAAAGAAGAAGATACTCACAAAAAGAACATTATTTTTTTTAATAATATCTTTATTTTTGAAATAATTTTTGTCGAGTAACTTCTAAAGAATATCTAAAATTATTTATCACACAATTACTGTAATAATTTTAACACTTCAATAAGATTATTTTAGTAAATTTAATTTATTTTATCATAATAATTGATAAATTTAATTAAATTTTTTAAATATATGCATTAATAGTAAGTGAAATTTAATATATGATAAAGAAAGTAATTTTAAAATATTCAACAATAAAGGATAATTATGTAAAAATACGTAATAAAAATATTTAAAAAATTTTGTATCAAACTTGACAAAACTGTAAAAGATATTTTTTAGATTACAAATATTTTTCACTTAAGGTAATATGTTAAAGTTAAATAGAATTATTATCGATGATAAAGCATTAAAGCTCTTCCTAAGAGTTTTTTACATTATTTTTTAAAAGTAATTTCATAATAATAATAATAATATATTTATTTTTACGTTACTTTTTAAAATAATTTAAAAATTTTTATTTTTTATTTTGCCAACAAAGCAGCTTAAGGAATAACAATTTTTTCCATTAATATATTTTTTAATAGCATTTTTCCATCCCTGGTTCTTAGAATTAAGTTTAGCTACTAAAAAATAATAATTTTTTAATTAAAAGTAGCACATTCATTATATTAAAACTATAAAAAAATAATTAATATTTTTTTGATAAATTATTATTATTATTATTAATTACTTAAATTTAATTTTAAAAACTAAAATTCACAATTTTTCTTTTTGATAAAAAAATAAAACATTATTGAGAAAAACTTATTGTGTTATTCCTTTCATGATAATAGAAACATGCTGAGCAAGTTACATATATTTAAGAGCGTGTTGATCAATTTGAAGTTATAACACATATTCATATACTTTTTCTGAAATGTAACATAATTCTTAACAAAATAATAACAAAATTTGAAGTTTTGATGACAATCACAGGTTAAAGTCTTCAATTAACATTATTAAAAGGTTGAAATTAACAAAAGTGGTGAGTTAGCTCATTTCTCGCTTTCCATGCATGCATCACTAAACTTAATTTTTAAATATTATTTTTATTAATAATTCACCTAATAAAGATGAATATTAAACTTGTATATATATACAATAATAAATTAAAACTCTAACTTTAATTTAATCGAGAATATTAAAAGGGCGAGTAACACTGCACCTTAAGTTTATTTCCATCCATAACAATGAAGTTTCAACCACAGCCTCACCATTAAAAGGATTGAAGTCCTTGAGCAAAAAGGGTAGCAAAAGCCTTCATTTGATCCTTGTTCAAAGCCAAAGCAACCTCAAGCCCTCCGTTGTGATTCCTACTTTCCGCAAGGGAAAACGCTCCCGTTTTGTCAATGGAGGTGACATCCACCTTCTTAGGCCTTCCCCATCCAAAGTCCACACCATAAACCTCAAACCTTGGTGACCCGGCAATGGAAAACAACCTGTTCCCCACCACAGATTGTATCTTTGATATCCAATTTTCTGCCCCATTTAGCACTCCACCCTCTAACCTACTCAACACATCACTTATCCCCTCAACACCTGTAATAAACCCATCATTTCCCAACACTTTTTCATTCTTCATCACAACCAACTGTGACAAAACACAATTCCCAAAATAATTTTGCAAAATTGGAGGGTCCAAACGAGACCTACAATCCACACTGAACACAAAAGCCACCTTATCACTAGCTTTTGCTTGGTTTTCAACTTTGACCAAACATGACAACAAATAAGCACATGTTACTGAAAAAGATGATAATCGAACCTTTTTGTTAACCTTAGACTCCGCATGTTCCTTAAGCTTTTGAATGTCCGATGATGTCAATTCAAACAACCCTTTAACCGCATCGTCCTGTAACGTGCATAGCGACTTCCACACGTTCAAGCTTCGATTATTCGTTGCTCCACCGTCTGTCAACCAAGCCTTCAAGTAAGTTTCACCGATTCCCGAAGGGTCTATTATCATTGATCTATCAAAAGAAGGTGTTAGGTCTTGAGGTAGTGACGGCAAAGGTTGTGACGAGTGTTTAAGATGAGAACAAAGGTGTGCCCATGATTTCATAAACAAAGTTGAAGACTTTCCATCAAGTGCTGCATGGTGTGTGGTGATTCCAATGCAAAAACCGAACTTTGGGAAAATGGTAACTTGAATTGCCAACACAGAGGCTTGTTCATGAGAAATGGTTAAGTGGGGTATCAAGTGCTGGCGTTCTTTGACTTCACAAAAGTTGGAACATAAACGGTTGAAATTAGCGTTGGATTCAGCTACAGTGAAGGGAACGGTGTTGCCAGGGACATAGTTGATGATGGGTTGGGGTGAATCATTAGGCCAAGTGATGGTGCCAGCGATAGGGAAAAAGTGTTGGAGAGTGAGGGAAAGGGAGTGTTTGAGGTTTGGGAGAATGGAATCAAAGAAGGAAATGGTGGGGTTGAGGAATTCGTAGAAGAAGAGACGCTCTACGGGTGGGAGCCTTAGCCATAAGACATCGTAGAAGGTGAAGGGTAGAGAGGTTGGTGATGTTTCTTGTGGCGGTGACACTGAGCAAACTTGGTGAACCTTGAGAGTTGTTGATTGCGCCATGCCAGAGGGAGAAGGATCGCGTGAGGTTGCAGCTGTCAATTATGACACTCACACAGATTTTTTTTAAAATATTATAGATCATCACAGAGTATTAATTTTTTTAAATAAATCATTAATTTTATTATTTATTAATATAAAATTAAAGATAATAATTATTTTACCAAAAGTTAATAGTACTCTTAACTACAAAAAGGGTATGATAGATTTTATCTTATTTTTTTTATTTTTAAAAAATAACAAATTACCAAAATATGGAGCCGTGAGTGGGGATTATAAATCTTTTAAAATTATTTATAGTACTAATTATATTTTATGAAAAAAGATCGTAATCAAATATAATAATTAATTTTTCTCTGGACTCTATCTTCTAATATGAAAAGGGCTGACCAAGGATAATTACTTCTTTTATTTGTATTAATTAAGTAAGTAAAAAGTAATTAATATCAAATTAAAAGAGTGATATAAATTATTAATATTTTGATATAATAACTAAATTTATTTTTTCTAATTCCTCTGGGATTAAAGAAATTATACATATATAAAATTATATCTGAGGAGCAATGGAAAGATTAAATGAACTCTCTAATTATAACGAATTGACTAAATTGCGAAACAACGTTAAAGTGATTTACTTTAATCACTTACTTTATTTAAAATTAAAAAAATAACTGTTAACTTTCCTTTTATATCCTTAATAATTATTAATTACCAATTTTCATCCCGCAAAGTTACATTAACACATTTTTGTTCTCTGTGTGTTTTGAGGATCACTCTCTCTTCACGGGTTTTTTTCATTTCCTTCTCTTTCTGTGTATACTGTGTTAAATAGGTCTCATGTTTTGCTTAGCTGGGATCATGAAAGTCTGTAGCATGCAATAACTTTTTTTGGGTGCAGGCTATGTTCTAGGAACTTTCCTGCTGCACACAGCTTTTCAGTCAATTACCTTATTTGGATTTTTTATTTAAATATTGTAATGTAAAAAATAATTTATTTATTTATTTTTTTTTAAACTATTTTTATGTCAGAGATGAATCTAGTTACATGATCAAAATTTTGCTAATATCATTGACAAAATTGTTGAATTTTAATTTTTTAAAAAAATTTACCCCTGGACCTGCGAAATAAGCATAATTCGCCATGTGTCATCGTTTATGCAATTTCGTCATATATTTAGCAAAATTAAGAACAAATTTTGTTATAATCAACACAACTTTTTTACGATGGCACGTGTCAATCACTGAACAAGAAATTCTCAATCAAATTTGAATTTGGTTGTTTGTAAAATGAACTCTTCCACGTATTTTTATTTATTTTTCATTTCTTAAGTCCCATAAGTTTAATCCTATAAAATCTGACCCATTTTATTATTGAGTAAAAAATACAAAATAAATTAAATTAATTTTTTATTAAAAATACTATGTGAAATAAAATTTTTAATTTTTTCTCAAGTAAATTTTGGAATAAAAACGATACAATTTGTTGAAAGTTGACAGTGACACGAATTTAGCAAAATATGCGAATAATATAGTAACACTTTCTTAGATATTATGATATGCAAATTTATTTCATTTAATTTGAAGAACAAATTTGATAGTGTTACCAAGTTTGTGTTATTTAATTTGTTTTATAATTTATTGCTAATTTAATTTCAAAGTATGAATTTAGTTATTGTTAATTTATTTTGAATTAAATGATATGATTAATAATGATTATTACTTTTTTATTTTAATTTTAGAAAAAAGAATAAAATATTAATTAATTTTTATTTGTAAAAATACAGGATGAGTAGAATTGTTATTATTATATATTATATGGTAGAACCTACTAAGGAAATGAAGGAGTGAGTTAGGAGGAAATGAAGAGTGAGTTTCGAATGAAATAAGAAAATGATTCATGTTGATGAATAAGTTTTGAAACTTTTAAAAGAAAAATTCATTTGAAACTTAATCTTGATCATAATCAAGTTATTTCTCGATTAATCCCACTCTTTTTAATTAATAAAAATATTAGACAGTACACAACTTTGAATATGTAGCAATGAATATATTGATTTCATTATAAGTGCATATTATCAATAACAAACTAGTAGAAATGTTATTAAGTTGTGCTCTTGGTGGAAGTTTATACTATTTTAACCGTTCAGTTAATCATTGAATTCTCTTATAGGTATTCCCTTGAACCTGGTTTAGCCAGCCGAGATTTCCCATCTAATGAGTTATAGCATGAAATCCATTTGATCCTATGTAACCTAAATCTTATTCTCCTTTCATTATCCATTTCTATATCTAGGACCAATGCTTCTTACTATCAAGTTATCGTTCTACCGATAGGTGATAGGCCCTACAATAAGGAAGGGAGGGGTCCCCCAAGCGAAACCAAGCTCTTTAGATTTCAAGCTCCATCCAACACAATCTCACTCCTCCTGCAAAGCAGCTCGAGCTACTTCCCTCTTGTGGAATGGAGGCTTTTTAAAGAGAGTGGATTCAACTTTTTCTGCTAATGATTATTAGTTTTTCTTCTATGGTAAAATTGGCAGCCCAGGCCGTCAACTCTTTCACAATAACAGTAGTAAGGTATAGTGTCGCTTGAGCGAAAGGCGATAAGGCTAGCTACAACCTTCACTTAACTAGCTACTGACTTCACTTATGATATTTACAATTCTAATTTCTAGTATTCGTATATTTTCTTTTTTCTTACTAAGCCAAAGCCTAGATAATTGTCCGATTCAATCAGTATATCCTATTGAAGGAAAAAAGTCTTTATCTACTGATCTAAGGGAGCTACGGGAAAGCACATTCATGAATTCATGGCAATACGTGCAGCTTTGGTTTGTTGTGGTGCTTTAGTTTAAGATAATAGAATATCCTCTGCTGTGGAATCTCGGTGGTAAGAAAGTGCTGCCAGAGCTATCTATCAGCCAGTGAAAGGCCTCTAGGCCCAGCTAGTTAGGCGAACAGCAAATGAGATGAAGTAGTGAACATATAGTAGACTGGATAAACAACCTGACGCGTTGCAGCCTTACCCTCTTCCTAGGGGGCTGCAACTTGCGCCAGTATGATATATGGTTACGCAAGAATGGAAGGTCTACAGCTTACTAAGACACTTGCCAATGGGCATCCAAAAGAAAAAGCAGAACCTTAGTCTTCATCCTTTTCCCCCTTTCTATGTACCCGATCTACGAACTTGGCCTAACCTAATAGACCTTCCATGCCTTGAAAACATCGATGCAGCATGGTTTCATAGTGTAGGATGTGTAACATCCTTATTTTTAATTAACATAATAATAAAAAATAATCAAAATCATCAAAATCGGAGAGATCCTGAATAACAAAGGTTTAAATCGAAAAACTTGAATAATAAAACATTAGTCTTTAAAACTGGTAAATAAACAACAAATATTGTAGTCATAATTTGCTTCATAATGTACAACATATATTTGTATCTCAAATACACATAAAGTTATCAAAATACATTAAGACAATTCGTTTACATTTACAAGTACTCAAAATAATAATGGTTCTAATGAATAGCCTAACCACCTTTTAACCGGTGGCACTAGTCATCGCCGTGCCAATCTTCTATCATCGCTAGGTCTTCAACAGTCAACTCGTCATCCGAGCCAAGATACTGATCGCCAGAGTCTGCAGTGACCTGAACACCTATAATATGCTCGATCGTCCATCGCGATGGTACTCTAGACTGAACGTGATCATGGTACGTAACAAGATACGTTACTATTGCAGGGGTTCTCTCAACACTAGAAAAGATATAAATACAGAGGGTATGATAGATTCTATATATAGACAAATCAAAAGGAATACTAAAGGCTAGCTCCAATTCCATTATCACTACCTCACTAGGCACCTCACTATCATGTACAAGGATTCTAAAGGAAGTAAATCTCTGATACTCGCCAAAAACATCATTTACTATATTTACTTCTGAACTATCTACTATTTTAATTCTCTCCCTGGGTGTCATCATCTAGGTTCTCTGAAATGGTTACGTAAGGATGAGTCTCCATATTCAATTATGCATTCAAATTATGTTTCTCTATTTATTCTCTCATTACTTATTTCCAAACTCAGTAACATTCTCATTTCCACTGTCCCTGGGATCCCTTGAGGTCTTTTTTAGCATAGATAGTTGCTGGATAGCCGCAGTTACATGGATACAACGTGTGCTGACCTTGCCCCTTTTAGCAAAAATGTGATCAGGAGTATAGGTCAGGAAATGAGTGTGAGACCTACGGTACTCCTACTCTCATTTATAGTGCACAATTTAAGCGGAACATCCATCACCCTAATTTCTCCAAGATTTTTCAGTCTTTTCCATCTTTCACACTCCTAGTGTACCTCTGAACTATCTATACTTGTCCTTTTCGTATTCATTCTGATTTCCTTTCCCTTTCCCTTTTATATCTTATCTTTCTATGTCTCTTTCTATTTCATTATATATTACTTTCTCATTGCCGAGGGTTATTCCTTTCGGGCTCAGTACATCATACACATGCTCAAATTCACATAAAACATACTCATCATCTATCATTCCAAACATATTTTCAAACATCACAGAGCATGTTCTAAACACATCAATCACATATTATCATTCAATACATACTCATTTCAAGCATTTTCACTCATACATACAACAGTTCCTAGCAATGATATAGAGCTCTCTTTACTGTGAGATAAAGTTTTGAAAGAGATTTTGTGAAAGGTTCTGAGTGAAAGGACTAAGATTTTCTTAGATATCACAAAAAAGAACATTTTGAGAAAGGAGAAACTTAGAAAACACCCAAAAAGAAAAACAAAGCTCCAAGAACTTACTTGGAGTTGATTGATGAAGTTCCCAAGCTTGGATTTGTAAGAAAGTTGAGGTTTTGGAGAGTTTTTCTAAGAAGAGAGGGTTAGGGGTCGAGAGAACAAGAGAGAGCTCAAAACTTGGATTGTAATCCAAGTTTTCTAACTTAAAAACCCTTAAATACCCCTAGACTTGC